GAAGGCAGGAGGTCTCATTTCAGATCACTGATGCTGTTCATGTTTGTGATTAGAGATAAGAGCATCAGCTTCCTTATTTTGGAAGTTCCAGAGTAGTTGAAGACAACTCTTTCTGAAATTCTTGAAGTTATTTTAACCCTGGGCCCAGTTCACTTCTTCTCCATTTCCAAAGCCATCTTCCTAATATTTCAGGGTAACAAGGTGGGCTTCAGTTGTTTCCTGGATCATTGACTGCCAATGACATCAGACAGGGAAATACTCAATGTGATAACATCAGGATACAATGCAAAGAATCTAGATTTCTCACCGGAGCAATGTATAGGGAGTACACAACCACCCTGTTACATCAGCTCCACTGGCTGCCAGCCTGCTACCAAGCACAATTCAAAGTGCTGGTTTTAGCCTATAAAGCCCTAAACGGTTCCAGCCCAGCTTACCTATCTAAACATATCTCCATTTATAAACCATCTTGGAGATTAAGATCGTCCGAGGAGACCCTGCTCTTGGTCCCACCTCCTTCGCAGGTGCAGTTGGTGGGGATGAGTGACAGGGCCTTCTCAGTGGTGGCCCCTCGGCTGTGGAACTCCCTCCCTAGTGACATCAGATTAGCTCCCTCCCCCCTGACTATTAGAAAAAAACTGAAAATTTGGATGTTGGACCAAGCTTTTGAATAATTGATTAGTGCAATATGTGAATATGGAATGGTGCAGTGATAACTGAAATGGCCTGGACTATGATATTGGATTACCTGATTTTAATGATTTTAATGTCAAAAAAAATTAGTGGGTGTTTTAATATATATATATTTATTTTATGGATATGTATTGTATGGCATCAAATTGTGCCCTTTGGGGGTGAGAAGGGCAATAAATAAATATGGCAAATAAAAAAATAGGAGTTGTGTAGGTTTTTTGTCCTATATGGCCATGTTCTAGAAGCATTGTCTCCTGACGTTTCTCCTGCATCTATAGAAGACAATCTATGAGGATGCCTGCCATAGATCCAGGTGAAACATCAGGAGAGAATGCTTCTAGAACATGGCCATGTTGTTGTTCATTCGTTCAGTCGTCTCCGACTCTTCGTGACCTTATGGACCAGCCCACGCCAGAGCTCC